ATAAAAAAAAATACTTGGAATAATATTAATTGAGAAAAATTCTTCTTAAAAATGCATATATTTTCAAAAAAATACACTTAATTAATTCCATGCTTTTAGTGAAAACCATCATTGCAGAAATAAAATATGTTTATCAACGAAGGGCAAGTTGGACTTGGATAGCCTCTGGAAAGTTGTTTTCCATGTTTATTTTGTCCAAATGTTAAGACTTGAAAGTGAAAGTACACTGCAAATGGCGGATTCTATAGGGGTCTTGTCTTTATACATGTCATGCTTTCAATAACAGCCTTTCAGAGATCATTCGCGTCCAACTTGCCCTTCAATGATAAACATATATTATTTCTACAATGTTGGTTTTCATCAAAAGGACAGAATTAAGCAGGTGCATTTTTTAAAAAATATGCACATTTTCTGATGCAATTTTTCTCAACATATATCTTTTTAAAAATATTTGTTATCAAGTAATACTTTCTATCTATTAATCAGTGATATATTTACAAAATGTAAACGTTTTGACTTCATACCACACATACGTTTGGAGCAATTGTAAAAATAATTTTTAGACATGTTGAACTTTGACGAAACCTTAAGTCCTTTTATAAGCTACCCTTAAATCTTGAAAATAAGCCGCGGCTTATTTTAAGTTTTGGTAAGAAAGTAGGGGCTTATTTTCAAGACCGGCTTATTTTCAAATTGCGGCTTATTATCAATGCAAAAAACTGGTAAGAGAAGAGAACACTATTGTATTCATTGGCGCTTCCCGGTGTACGTTCTTTAGGATCGTCTCCTTTATATTTTGAGAATGCCGATCCCGAAAAGTTAATTTCATTGTATACAGCATATGAATTTACATGAAATATAAACTTGTTTTAAAAAAGTAAAAATAATATATAAGATATCCGCTTGCAATTGAATTACATGATAAATTAATCAAACAAACACATATTTAAACAACTCATTTATACGGTACGTTGAAATGTAATTACTACCAATTAAGCCCTGCCGATCAGCAGGTTTCTTGCCTCAGGCAGTATTACCTGGCAGTTAAATGCTTTACAAACAAAAACATCCTTTTATCCATTTACTTATTTAATTATTACCACCTTATAACCTTTTCCTCAACTAAATAGATTATAATTATACTCATTAAGGAAATCTTCGTTAATATTTGGATTAAATTTTACATTTTCAAAACATATTAAGAAGAATGTCTTGATACATAAAAGAACAAGTTTTTCACCCACGGATTATATAACTTCCTATCCTCCTTCCCCTGTTAAAGAATATCTTAACATCTTTTTTATATACTTCAACCCCGAAGTTTAATTTCTATAAAAATATATCTATATTAATGAATTCGATAAACTATGTGTAATGCTTTCATAATGGTACAGTATTTATAATGTTTGGCGATTTTATGTCAACGCCACAAAAATCTACCCAAGTCAAGATCAATAACTCGTGTACCAAATGTTTTTTTGCAAAAGAACTTTCTTTGTGCATTAAACTTAAAGTTTTAATAGGCAGCGCATGATATACACTTTGTGCGACTAGACCCGCGTCAATCATGCAACCCCCCACCCCAACCCTCACCCTTTCCAGTTCATTGTATAATACCGGTAGTAATTTTGATCTGTTTTATGTGATATTAAAAAAAAAATAGGATATACAACTTATATGTAAATACATGTGCGATTCAAATAAATCGAGAAATAAATATTGATAAAGCAGCAATTTTCGCTTCCCAATACTTACTTAATTATCCTCTTCGTCCCCGATGGGACATAAGGCTTAAACAAGCTGTCTCCATCTTCCTCTGTCCTTTGCCACATACTGTGTCTGCTCCCAGGAGTATCCCATTTCCTCTAACTCTGATGTTACGGTTCTTCTCCATGTTGTTCTTGGTCTATCTCGCTTCCTCTTTCCAGATGGTGTCCAGTGTAGGGCTATTTTGGGTATCCTGCTCTGGGGCATTCTCATTACGTGTCCTAGCCATCTCAATCTTCTTTGCTTTATTTCTGTTGTTATACTTCTTGTCACAATATTGTAAATATTGCTCCAAATGTGCTTCCATACATATTGGAGTGTTTTACTTGCACGCATCGATGGTCACTGAATTGTAGCATACAGGGCTGCGGCATCGGTTGGTAAACCTATTTGTCAAGTTTAACGATACATGTATTTATAGTCACTTATCCAGGGGTTTTGGCCAGGTTTGTCAGATTAGTTCTGGACACCAAACTGTGTGGACGGTGTTAAATTATGACCCATACTTAGTGGATTGGGCGGCTCCCATGCTGTGTGAAATTGGGATGCATTTCTTAGTGATACTGGTACCTGTGTGGACCATTTGAACCTGAGTGGACGATTGAATCCTGTGAGGACTGTTTGAAACCTGGGCCTTTTGTTTTTGCATATATAAGGGTGTGAGTGACTACAATCCAGTAAGTGTTATTTTTTTGTTTTTCTTAGGAGTTTGTGTAAACGAAGTTATTTGCTTGTTGTATACATTTTTGTCGCTACAAGACGTAAATTACCTGGTTTATAGATTTAAATACTTGAATACAAGCTTTGGTACGGAAGACCATATTTGTAATATAGTTTTTGTCACATGTATACGATGGGCGTGTGTTAATAAGAAATTATTGTATTATATTGATTAGGTCATTATATGTGGTTGTTCAATATTTTAAATAGGTGACCTTTTTAATGCTGTACATAGCCTACCCTGATGTTATACAGTTAACTACGTTGTGAGGGAACTTTCTCAGTCTGATGACTACTTCCGGTGATGACATGTACTTCCGGCCAACATGTGGGGGGATACCAAGCATATGGTTCCTCGTATTCGGGAACACGTGGTGCTGATGTCCGATGTTCACCTATGCGCTACACCGGAGTCCGAGTTCTATTCTGAATTTTTGTACATTTGTAAGTAAATTGTTATTGTTGTAAAATATTGTTTTTCTTGATTGGCAAAGGTCATCCATTTACTAGATTGGTAAAGGTCATTTTGTTAAGAGAACCTAGCACAATTAAAGGTAATTGTGACACTTCTGCTTTTGCTTTTCTTGTGCAGGTCTACGTTAGAGATCTTGTTTGGCCAGAATATACGATTGATTTTTCGGAGACAGTTGTTGTGGAATGCCTCTACTTTTTTCATGTCACTGTCGACAACGCGCCAGCATTCAGACCCATACAGGAGAACTGATTTGAAATTGCTGTTAAAAAGCTGGAGTTTGATTCTCAGACTGTATTTTTTTGACTTCCAGATGGGCTGAAGTTGGGCTAATGCTGTCCGTGATTTACTGAGACGTGTTTTTATATCTTTACCAGTGCCGTTGTCCTTACTTAGGATACTGCCATGGTAGGTAAAGTCCTCAACTTCCTCTAGTGGCTCTCCATTTAATGTGACTGGTTCTACTGGTGCATTGATTGTCATAACCTTCGTCTTCTTGGCATTCATGTTAAGCCCAGTTTGTTTGGCAAAGGAGCTTAATTTATCAGTCTTTTCTTGTAAATAGATGATGTTTCCTGATACTTCTGCCAGATCGTCTGCAAAACCCAGGTCTTCTAGATGATTGAACATTGTCCATTGGATACCCCTCTTTTTGTCACGTGTGGTGTTTCTTTGGATCCAATCAATGACCATAAGGAAGAGAATTGGTGATAATATGCATCCTTGCCGTACTCCAGATTTTACACTGAAGCAGACTGATATTCCGTTTTCCAGGATGACACTACACTCGAAGTTTGAATAGAATGTTTCCATGAAGTTGCAGATCTTTGCTGGTATCCCATATGATCTTACTATTTTCCAAAGTGTTTCCCTGTGCACACTGTCAAAAGCTTTCTTAAAATCAATGAAATTGATATACAGTGGCATTTGCCATTCAATACACTGTTCTATAATGTTACGAATGGCAAAAATTTGGTCTATGTACCCTCTTCCTCTTCTAAATCCAGCTTGTTCCTCTCTCAGTTTCTTTTCAATCACTTTGTCTATTCTGTATAGCAGTATTTTACAGAACACCTTATGCCTCTCCAGTTGTCACAAATTTGGAGATCTCCCTTTTTTGGAAGCTTTACAATGAGTCCTTTACTCCAGTCGTGTGGTATTGCTTCATTTACCCAGATATGTACGAATAGATCTAATAGCGTTTTGGATGATGTTGCAATATCTGATTTCAGCATTTCAGCATGTATGCAGTCATTGCCTGGGGATTTACCATTCTTTAATGCTTTAATACTGTTTTGGACTTCTTCAAGGGTTGGTGGTTCTAAGTTTTCAACTGCGAGGTCTGGACTCGCTGGTTCATTGGGTTCTGGGCAATTTAGTACTTCCTGGAAATTTTGTACCCAAAGGTTCGCTTGTTCATGTTCTGTTGTCAGGGGGTGACCATCTTTATCTTTCACAAGCGCAAGTTGAGTTGTAGTGCGACCACATAGCTTTTTTGTTATTTTGTAAACAGTGCTCATTATTCCATGTGAAGCAGTTCGTTTAGCTTCTTGTGCCAGACTGTCAACATACATTCGTCTATCCCTCCTAGCACTTCGCTTGACATCTCTATCCTTTTCTCTATAGGAAGCTTGTAGTTGTTCTTGTAATCTTGCAGGCTTGGTACTGATAATTTTCTGCTTTATGTTCTTTCTTCCACCTATTTTTCCCATGTCCCAGGTGTTAGCCATTCTTTGTTCTTCTTGGTTTGGTAGCCTACAGTTTTTTCGGCGGCTTCAATATACACTTTCCTGATCGTGTCCCACCTTTTTTGAATATCCTCAACAACATGGGGATTTTCTTCCAGAACCTTAAATCTGTTCTTTAATTCCAGATTGAAATATTTTCGTGTGTCTGGTATCTTTAACTTTTCCACATCGAACCTCCTTTTTGTCTCTTACTTTTGGGGATTTCTGCGAAGTTTTAGTTTTATGATGGCTTTCAGCAGATAGTGGTCACTGTTGACATCTGCTCCACGGCATACTCTAGCATCTTGTAGGGATTAGCGCCATTTGCTGTTTACAGTTATGTGATCAATCTGGTTTGTTATTCTACCATCTGGAGATTTCCACGTGAGCTTCTGTATATCCTTGTGAGGAAATATTGTGCCTCCTATCGTTTGTTTGTTGTTGAGACAGAAGTAAATGAAGCGCTCTCCATTGTCATTCTTAATTCCACAGCCATGTTTGCCCATAGATTTCTCACAGTCAGTGTTGTCAGAACCCACTTTTGCATTTATGTCTCCCATTATCAGTAGCATGTCATGCCGGGGGACTTTGGAGACAACCATCTGTAGCTGCTCGTAAAATTCATCTTTCACTTCTTCTTCGGCATCATTTGTTGGTGCATAGCATTGTATGATCGTCAGTTTACAGTACTTGGAGTTGAATCTTGCTCTAATTAATCTATCACTAATTGGTTCCCATTCAAGCAGTGTTTGGTGATTTGCTTATCATGATTGCAACCCCATTTTGATGTTTGTCTTTTTGCCCCGAGTACAATATGGTGTGGCCACTAGTAATTCTAATCTTGCCTGATTTAATCCATCTGCATTCGCTTATTCCAAGCATATCTAACTTGTATCTCTGCATTTCATCAGCAACTTGTGCTGTCTTTGATGTTTCGTACATCGTGCGAACATTCCATGCTCCAACACGAAGTTTTTCTTTCGGCCTTAGAAGACTTTTAATCAATCTCGTAGAAGATGTCATATTGCCTGAGTTTTGGCTCAAGTCTTTGCAGACACAGTTTTCACATATAACATCTGCTCAAGTTTCTGTAACTAGTTCTTTTTTACTGGGTAGGGTAGTTAGCCGTACGCCAAACCTCCACTCTGTTGGCCCGGGTTTTCTTTCTGGGTTGTCCTTCCCATAGATGATTGCAACCCAATGCTAACGAGCTCCTTCTCCCCGGATTTTCTTTCTGGGTTTACTCCCATAGCCTTTGGCTCTCCCAAGTCATCTACAAGGCAGTAGAGCTATTTTTCCCATAGCTGGGTCAAGGTTAAAGAGTGCTAGGGCATATCCATACACCGATGGGCCTACACACTGCATCTCTGGGGTCCCTGATACTCCGACAGATCAGCCTGAGGTGAATGCCCTCAGTATCCATGCATTGCCACGGGGAGGCACTGTAGGAGTCTTGATAGTGCAGAGGCTTTGTACTGGCAGGGAAAGAATTACGCACTCGACTCCCCATTTCACCTACAAGTAGGCTAGCCAGCGGCGAAAGAAGATCTACAGGTCGATCCCCATCACACTAGACGCTTTTCACTACCCAGTGGTACCACCACCAATGCACTCGCTTCCCAATAATCAAGTCATATTTTTTTTTCTTATAGTGGCATGCCTATTTCTTTTCCAATATCTTTTGTAAAATCTGCCGTTAATCTCAGATGGTTATAAAATGCATGTAGGACTCATGAAACCACTATGCAATTTTTGTTTTCTAATTGTTATGCCATTTGTATACTACATGTTATTTTATATTTTTAGTAGGTCCTAAACTATCCATATACGTATATACTAGTTCAAGAACAAATACTAGTACTTGTGACAAAATAATATATGCTATAAAGATTCTAAACAAAACCATCGCTGAAAATAAAGAAATTTGATGCTATTTCCCGATGTCTGAAATTTACGGCGACATTCCGAATGTTTACAACAGTGAATCACGCTCTTCCTGAATTGAGAGAAAATAAATTTTAAATTTCGCAAAAGTTTTAAAAACATCCTATATATAAAGGATGGTGAAGAGAAACCGATACTTTCAACAAATTGATTCCAATTACGATGTTTATTATTACGACTATTGCAATGAAAGGATAATTAGAAAACTTTATAAAGAAAACGGAAAGATTGCAGCTGTCATATTAACAAAAGAAATTATTGCAGATCGGATCATAAAACAATACATTTTACATATAATCTGTCTACGATAAAGAAAACTTGTTTCTTGCTTTGTGGAAAGCAAAGTAAAACATTAATATTCGCAATTTTCATCAAAATGCTTTTCTAATCTACTGTTTTTCTTTCTTTTTGATATATTTCTGATTATTCCTTTTTTAAGGGGATTCTGGGAGATAATAATGTCTATCTCTTATATAAAACTTCTTATTAATTAGGGAAACTGTACTAGTATATTTAGATAATTTATTTGTTTACAACTGATCGGATTAGAAGAGATAAAACTTCATGTAATCTTTAAAATATATATATATAATCTTGAAACCAGTTGGACTATTTAGAAAATATTTATGAATGCATCGCTAATTTAATCTAAATCTTTCTGTGTTTTTCAATGAATTTCTTTAATGAAAAAATGAGAAAGAATGAAAAAAAGAGTGTTCAGGCTGTTTTGAAGGTGCGTTCTGAGTCTAGCTGTCGGGTCAACATTGCGTAACATACTGCTAGTGATATCCGGCAGGTGCCCGTCTGTATATATACAGAAGTGACACCTATTGTTCTCGCTACCGCATTGTGTAGTTCACAGAGCTTCCGTGTGAGTGTAGTACTTCACAGAGCTTCCGTTTGTCAGCGCTAGTGTAGTACTTCAAAGCGCTTCCATTTGTGTACAATATCCATATTCACGAATACGCTGCAGTGTTAAATAAAAAACATCTTTTAATAAATTTTAAAAAAAGTTTTATTGTTCACAATTATACACTAAACAACTGTTTCCGATTAAGCTATATTTTTATATGGAGTTCATAGTATGGCTTGGGTTTTTTAATCTGATGGTATTAGTGGTATTAGAAACATTTTGAGTTAAACATACTTCATTTTACTGTAAACGGGTATCAATAGGAGGGACATCTACATTAACTGAATTATTCGTGACAATTATTACTGCTGATCAGGCTGCACTCTAACCGATCGGCAGTAGGACTTCATTACAGCGAATAAATACTGTAGCGTAATTAGAACCAGTAAAATAAAACATCGATTTTATTCAGTGGAGATAAAGTCTATTTTCATTTTTTTGTATTTGATTTCTTGAAAAAAACATGTATGAGCAGCTGTGACAATGATAAATTCTCGGTACATATAAATCAAGCGCAGAGTATACTTGCTATCAGTCTCATAGACAGACAACCAAAAAATCGATGACAGTATTATTTCAATTCATTTGATATCATTATAACTACATGTTTACACCATGTGTTTTACATAGAGATCTCCTAAAGATTCTAAGTACTTTCATCTTTAAATTTTTGAGCATTCAATCTAAGCAGAATTTTTAAATCATGTGCGTGTGTGCTAAATAAATTGCGAACTTATTCAAAATAAAACCTGGACATAAAGAAAAATATACTATAACTTAAATATTATTTTCTGCTGTCGATGTTCATTTTATTATGCAAGTACATGTAACAAAACTTTCAGTTATCCCCATGTTTATTTTCAAATTATTTTCATAATTTGTAAGTTGTAAAATTAAGAATTAACTGAGTGACAATGAATACAAAATTTACAAAGTGACAGTACACGTTTTTACTGACCTGGTAAATTAAGTGTCATATTCTACATATTGAATTTATACTGAGTGGGAGTAAATACAAAATTCAGAAAATGACAACAATGAAAAACGAGATATGATTTTGAAATTCTAAATATTTTCTTTTTAAGATGCAGCAGCAACAGCATAAATATTGATGATATTAATAGCATTAAAATACGCAATGAATGGTAAAGTCAGTCAAAATACATCTTTTCAATATTATTTTACTTGACAGTAATTTTTTTTTCTAATTAACAAGTTGTAAATTTAATCTGTGACACATCACCATATTTCTTCTCTATCTCTGTTTAAATTAATTAAATACCATTGAAAAAATGTCTTTGTTTGAATTATTTCTTTATTCATTTAATATCAATATTTAGACAATTGCTTTGATTTATTTTCATAATTTTGATCATCAGGAACGAACAACTTTCAAGTAAAAGGTTTTTGAGACTTGCTGAAACTTTTTTTCTGTCATTGTAATTGCGACCTACTAATCAAAATTTTTATATGTGCCATGCAGTAGAATATGTCAAAAGCATTACCATTACCCTTACGACATTAAAGATTTTGTATTAGCACAGCAGAAATGTAACTTATTAAATTTTCAGATGTGGATCAAGAATTATTAAACAGGAACTACTATTTATCATGATGTTTAACATTGGTTGGATGAATTTTGAAAAACTAAATTTACTAAATAATTAAAGTTTATCTAATTGGTTGATATGAAAAATAAATAAATAAATAAATAAATAAATAAATAAATAAGATATAATTCATAAAAAAAATTGTTTAGAAGACTTGATTATATATCCTTGTAAAAGTTCAAAAGAAATTATGCAAAAAATTTAATTAATTAAATGAACAAGAACCAAACACAATTTCAGTTTTATTGTTGACGATACTTGTACCTACTCATTTTGTTTTGAAGAAAGTTTATAAATAAAGAAAATTGAACATTAAATTACAATAAGTCTCATGATAAAATAATAATTTTTGAGAAAAATAGCCTCAGTGTCACTCAGGATTACCTCAGTAGCAACAGTATTAAAACTCAGGGCTACTCAGTATAAGCTCAGAGCCTCAGAACCACCTCAGTATCCCTCAGTACCTCAACAGTACCAACAGAGTCAACCTCAGTACCTCTCAGTATGTCCTCAGTGTACGAAGTAAAAACCTCAGTACTACTCAGAACTTCCTCAGTTACTCAGTACAGGGCTCAGTACAACTCAGGGTTTTCTCAGTACCACTCAGTACTTCCTCAGGGTTTTGTTGGATTCTCAATGCTTTTTAGTTACAGTAGTGTGAAATGGATATTCAAAAATCATGTATAGTTATAAAAGCTACAACTCCAGACAATAACGTGTTTAAACATATAACTGTTTGCACTGCTTCGAACTTTTTAATTGATAGCAAAAATAGCGAGCTTTTAATTGATAGCAAAGTATAGCAAGTATGCACATAGCAAGCAAAGTATTTTAATGCCCCTACACAATGGAGAATTCAAAGCAAATTCTTAACTCTCGAAAGAAATTATATCTCTTACTAGATATTTATCTCGTTCGTTCCTTCCTTCCTTCTATTTTTTTTTTATTCAAAGCCAGACCATCTTTTAATAAAATGTTTGCTTGTACTCATCCAATCAACTGAATAAAACTAGCTCCGCTCAAAAATCATTTTAAATCATTTTATTCTAGACTAATTTAAAAATATACTAACATTGTGAAGGATCGATTGTTTGTTAAATTTTTAAATACACCCATGTACATGATGTAAAAACATATTTCTAGCTATATACGTTATCGTTTTCATTACAAAAACACTCCAATTGCATGGACGAAAAAATAACCTTGTCTAGCGTTTGTATGAACAAAATAATTAGAAGATAGCTCTTTCAGAAAGCGACAAAAAAGAAATTACGGAAATTTGGTCCGGAAGGTCCCTCCCATTTCGCTTGACGCAACTCAAATATCAATTTAACGTTACTGAATATCATTCTAATATTACGATTTCTTGAGGGAAGCAAAATCTGCTCTTATCATACATTGTATGTAGTCATTTGAGGTGTTTGTTGTCTTTTGATCACCTATTTTACCCAGGAAATTAAATACAAATTAAATCTAAAGAAAAAACACGTGCCACTTCCTTAAATAAAAAAAAATATCTTGTTCCATCTTCACATTAAATAAGAATCATGCATGGAAAGATATATCTTAAAAACATATTCCGATGCTTTTTTATATATAAGAGGGCCACAGAAAATATAAATTGGGGAAAATTATTAAAAATATATAATGAATTACGATGTGAGGAATATATAAGTAAAGCCTGCTACCTATATGTATTTCGTTAGCATATGAAATGAATATGAATAATCACTTAACATTAACATTTTAAATTCATAGTAAAGAAGCCTCAATCAACTAATACTTACATAGTGAAGGTCGGCGAACTGAAATGGATTTTCAAAACATTATGTATAGCTATAAAAGCTACGACTCCAGACAATAACGTGTTTGAGGGGAATAAAGACCTTTAGTTGAAAAAATACTTGTCGTTCAATTTTTTTCATGTTTTTTATATCTATAATTTAGTACGTCCAACATACCTTAAAGCATAAATATTAATAGGTTTCTAGACTTATTTTTGATATATTGAGCGACAAATACTATGCCACACAGTGTCTAAGT